TTTATTAACTTTCACTTTGATAATTTAAAGTTTTAGCATTTTTGTGCTTAGTAAATATTTTTAAAACAACATATTTGGAATTAAAAGTCAGACTTATTTAATTAAATTTTTTGAAGAAGAACTTTCAATCGACACTTTTTCCAACACACTGTTGAATTGTTACTAATTTTTTTTTGAAACGCTTAGGAAACCCCGGAACTTTAGTTTAAGTTACTTTAAAAATTTAATAAAATAAAAACAAAATCTGTATACAAAGTTGTATCGTTAACCAGAAAATTTTAATTTAACTTACAAAAATAATAATTAATAAGAATTTGCAAGACAAAGTTTTGAAACTTCAAGTATAAAATTCAACATCGCTTGTTCTTAAAAAACAAAATCTCCAAGTATTTATCAGAAAACTTCATTTGAGACATTTCGCTATTCATTTAAATTTTGTTCATAAAACTAAATTCATATTCTACCGTTAATAATACCGGAGTACAACAGCAAAATCCTTATTGATCCAAATGTTTTATTTAAACAAAATTTGCACATAAAAAACTCATAAGTAAAGAATTAATCATAAGTAAAAAATAATCATAGTTTCTGCACCTGTAAACTAAGAGTGGAATGAAAATAAAACAATTTTTTTTTTAATTTTTTTGTTTATGTTATAAAATTTTTTGATGAACATCTTTACAAACTCATTAGATTGTGTTTCACAAGTTCATACAATTCATTAGAGTTGATTTGGAGGCTAAAATTTACAGTTAATTATTTTTTTGCTTTTTGCTTGAGTCGCTAATATTAAAGCTAACACTTGAATGAAATTATCGTCATTTAACACCCTTATAAGTATTAACTATTGTCAAAAACCATTTTTGAGAATCGAAAAACATGTATTCACAAACCATTGAAATTATAATATGACTGTGTTAATAAAGTTTTAACATTTTTCATATTATTTATTTATTTTTATTTTATTTCTTTTTATATTTACTTGTTATGTGATGTTCTATGCTTCAGTATTACTTGAGAGGAAGAAATTTTCAAACAGTTATACCGTTTTACATTTATTTCAATGCGTACAAGCAATTCTTGAATATTCAAAGCATAAATGTATAAACATTGTTTAATTTATTTTTATTTCTTTTTTTTTTTTTTTTTTTTTTTTTGTCTAAAGTACAAACAAATAATACATAGTTATATAATGAGTATAAGAGTATAACACATTGCATTAGGGCATCATGGCATTTTATGCATGTATGTATGTATGTATTTACATATGTATGCGACTATTTATAATTATGAAAAATACATATGTATTTATTTGGAACACTTTGCGTTTACAGCAGGAATTGGCGAAGAGAATGATGAGTAAGAAGGAAAAAAAACTACATATTTTACACGCACCTCCATAAAACACATTTATAAATATATATATGTATATATATAAATTTAAATTTAAAAAAGTTAGTTGCCAGTGAAAAATATACGCTAGCATAAGCACTTAAGGGCAAGTAAAAAACGAAAGAAAATGTCTTCTCCGGAAGGTCTTTCAGTGAGCCTTTATGATTATTTTAAATTTAATATTATTAATTTTTGCATTTAATATTATTTTAATCTTTTGTGTTAAATAAATTCTAAAATAGTATTAACTGATTTGTATTATTACTTAAATTGCATTTGAATGTGGTGATTTTGTACTTTTTGACAAACTTTATTATATTTCGTTCCATATAAACATTCTCATAATTCATAAGCATATACATAAGTGATTACAAATTCGTTTAGATAAGTCAACGCTTCCATTTGGCGATAAGGAAAATGCACGCAGATTTGGTTTGGCTGTCACTAAGGGTAAATATTAGGTAAATATAAAAAAAAATTGTGCAAAGACTGCAAGTCATGAAAAACTATTTAGACTACCGGCCAAAATTCACCGATTAAAAGTTTCACATATGTATACCATATGTGCATTTGTATGTGCTTGAATATGTTTGGTAAAATATTGTTTTGATAAACTATAAATAAATTTTTGAAGTTATAAATTTTTGATTCACAAATTTAATATGAAGGCTTGCAAATCGACGTATCGCAATTTTTTGTAGTTAGTGTGCGATATGTATGCGTTTATGTAAGGTTGCTTCTCTGTCACAGACAGTTGACATTCCCTACACAACACTTGTTAAGAAAATTAATAAAACAATATTAAGTGATGCACACTTTAGAGCTGGCTGCTTAAAATAATTGCGTCAACTCGCCAATTTTTTTATGTAAACTATTATAACTTTTAATCTCAATGTGAATTTTGCTTTGCGATTGGAAGCAAAACAGCTTACCGCAAAGACATATGTCATAATTTTCAAGCAAATTAGAATACATTATTTGGCATTTAAGTATTTTCGTGACGCTTATACTTCTTTTAATGTCTTAGTTTTCGTTTTCGATTTTTATATTTTTTAAGTTAATTTTTTATATATGTATATAATTTTTTTGTTTTTTTTTTCTTGTTTGTATTTCAAAATCTAATTTAACATTGTTTTTTATTTTTTGTTCTATAAAATAGTGTTTGTTTTTCTTTACTTAATTTTTGCACTTGGTTCATTTGCTTTAAAGTATAGAAATAGTGAATAGCATGTATGCATGTACTATGATAAAAGCATAAGAGATATAATATAAGATTTAGTAAAATAGCACATTTGAAAGAGTACAATTCTTGTTAAAATAGTGGTAGTGTGATAATAAAATATAAGGAGAACATAACTATATAATTGGCATAACGAGCGAGGGTGTTTGGTCTCAGCATATATATGTGTGTGTATGTATGTTTTGTATAAGTGTACTAGGCGTGAGTGGCTCAGCTATTTTTTTTTTTTTTTTTTTGAATATTTTCTTATATTCATAGGCTTTTCTTAAGCACTTTTTATGTGTTTCTTTGAAGTTTATTTTATAAATTGTATTATATGTATAAATATGTATGCATTTATCATATGGTGTCTGTACGTTTTGAGCAGTCCGTTCGTTGTTTGTCCTTTATTGTTTTATATTTCTTAAGTTACTAGATTTTGCTGCTGCGGTAATAGTACATACATTGATTTATTTGGGCGGGTAAGTATTTTTTTTTTTTTTTTTAATTTGGTGTTAATTCTACTATACTAATAATAATAACGACACAACAACATTATTCAAGTGCACTGAAGGTGTATGCAGCAGTTATAAAGCGCAATCATACTAAATGTATTCTCTTAGCAATATATGAGCTAGCTATTAGCTGTGAAGAAAAATTAAAACAAAAATAAAAAAAAAATATATAAAATTTGGTACAACTTTACTCAAGTCAGTTTCCCATTACAATTTGGCTTGAAGATCTTTGATTTTTTAAAAGAAAATACAAACCAGTCTATATATTTTTATGGCCAATTTCTTATCATTGTTACTTTTAATGCGTTTAATATACTTAATTTTGTACGCCTAATCATTATCTATTGCATCATGCAACCAATATTATTTGCACACATAACTGTTAGTGAACATTGTTTGTGTTATTTACCGTTTGTGCATTACTAATGTAGCTCGTTTTTTTAGCAACTAGTTTTTATGTTATGTTTTGTGCTATTTTACCAGCACAATTTTTAGAAAAATTATTATTGATTTGCAATGCTTATTAATATTTATTACTACTGCACACAACCTCAACTTTACTTGAATGTGCATACATACTATCGTTAGTCTGATCTTATGCAGAAAAAAATTAAGTAATATTTAGGTAAACAATACCATTACTAGCCATAATTGCACTAATGTACATATAATCGTTTATGTTTAGGTAAAAGTTTGTAAGTTCGTTATGATTTTTCGTTTCCATTACAATATTTTTTTTTTCTTCTAATTTTGTAAATATTATAAAGTTTTTAGATCACCACAGTGGATAGTTTGAAACGAACTCGATGAGAAATGTACTGTGTTCAACTATTTTCTTGGTGAAACTTGGACTTTGACAGTGTTGCTGCTTTTCTTCGATTTTACTTTCACTACTACATATTTCAGTTTACAGGTGTTTGGGTTAGTGGTTTTTTATTTTTCTTACATATGACTATTTGCTTTTATTATTTTAAGAATACCTTTGTGCAGCATCAATGTAGACATATGCACATTTGGGTGCATGGTTTTTGAGTATGTTTATATGTATGTATGTACGTTGATATAATTAGTAAGTTTTAAGTTTATACATGGGCGGTACCTCAACCTTTGGCGTGAAGCGTCATTGGACGCATCAAAAGTTTATCAATTTGCTGCAGTGTATTTGCATGTCTTTGAGCGATTTTTATTATTTTTTATAATATATATAGTATATCTGCATATGTATAAGTTCATATATGTAAGTGGCTGCGTATGCAACACACACATATATACGCATGTTTTTCTCTTTATATGGATTTATGTGCCAGCACAATTTCATTTATGTTGTTGTTGGCGCAATGTCAACAGCATTACTAGTCGATGATGTCTTAGCCACGGCAGTGGCATTGCAACCCACATCGGCGATGGTGTCTAGAGATATGGAACTGTTTGTGCGTTTCGCATCGCTAATTGTAGCGGCAACTTGAACGTTTTCACTGCCTGCATTCTCATTGATGTGCGCCGCTGCAATTGTGCTGGAGTCATCATCATCAGTTTTGTTTCTGAAAACAGCGAATGCAAATAGTTTATGTTATACACCTTTGAAAACCAGCCGAGAGACAAAGCAGTAGTTCCAATTATCTTTCTCAAATTAATTTTAGCTCTAGCGACAGACTAAAAATATAGTACATAGTAAAGTACTAATTATAACCATAGCAATATTTTTTCTTTCGCATAGTTTGGAATTTCTTCTTTTTATATTCCCTGAGCTCCTAAAGCTTAATTTATAAAGTAAATTAGAGGAAAGAATCTACCGAATTTTTACTTTACAACTTAATATTTGCATTTAAGTACATACATACGTATGTTATTAAAAGCTGAAAATATATAAAACAAAATTAGAAACCAAAAATAAAACATAAAAAGAAATTTAAAAAATAATAATAAAAATAAATAATAACATTTAACAAAATATTAAAAAGGAAATACAAATAATTGTATTTAAAAGAAACAATAATAAACAAGAAATAAAATAAAAAAGCTGATATAAAAATAATTAAAAAACTTAGAAAAAATTATAAAAATTAAATTAAATTGAAAGCAAAAAAATTAATAGAAAAGATATAACAAAATATTTTAACTGCTTTAATTTAATGCTAATAATAAAAAAGAAATAAATCAATAAATGGAATATAATACATATATTAAAAAATTAATTAATGAAAAAAGAACAAAACATTGAAAAAAAATTAAAAAATACATTTAAAAAATTTAGAAAAAACATTAAACTATATTACAATCCTTAAGAAATATTTATACAAAAATATATATAATCTGTCTCTTATACACATCTAGATGTGTATAAGAGACAGACTATAAAGTAATTGTTTATAAAATTAAAAAACAAATATTAAACAAAAATAAAATTTAGAGAGAAACCCAAATGTTGGCTATTATAACAAATATTTTTACAAAGAAAAATATATATAATAAACTCAAAATAAAACCACGTAAATGAAATTAAACAAAGAAAAATAATAGAATGGAGTTAAAGCTAACTTTCCAACATATAATCTTAAAAACCAAATGGCATCAACTATATATACAACAGCCCAAATTATTAACACACAAATGAAGGATAAAAATTTAAGAAAAAATATTATCTAGCGTTAATTATTTATAAAAAAATTTATATGAACTTTAAATTAAAATATTAGAATACAAAATTATTATTTTTTTTTTCAGAAACGAGGAGTCTCTTTTCCCTCTATGTTGATGTTATTTAAAATTTAAATAATTGCCGCCAAACAGACTTAACGTAAAAATACACATTTAAAACTTTTTTGAATTCCCATAGCATACAATTTTTGCCATATAGTTAAACTAAAATAGTTATTTGGAACTACGCTTTACCTCTGCGATAGATAAGCGCCTAAATACACTCAATGATCTAATCTTGTAAGGCAACGAGTGCATGTGTTATTGAATATACTTGTATAGTTGGAGTTGGCACAGGCATTGTTGCGTTCAATGATAGAGCATTCGAAGAAAGTGAAATAAGGAGACGAAAGAAGCGCTTACAATTTATGTGTATTATCATTTGCGTGAACTTCTTGGCTGCTCGGGCCGTTGGTGAAACGCAGCTCATTGGACTTCTGATCGCTGTCATCACTTTCATCATCGTGCGCACCCACTGCACTGCCGCCCAGCGGTTTTGTCCACATGCCCTCATCATCCTCATAGTCATCCTCAGAATCCTGCATCACCGACTGTAGTGTACGCACCAACGAAGTGGCCAAAGCCTTCTCATTCGACACATCCAAATCATCTGCGACGTCGGTGCCATCCGCAAATTCACCAATCTCTTGCGTTACCAGCGTTATACTCTTCTCAACATTTGCATTATTATCATAACCAGTTTCGGCCTTGCTACTGGTGATAGCTGGCGCGATGGTACGGCTGATATCACTCAAAATTGCACCGTTATCGGTGGTGTTTCGTTGCGCTTGGGTGCCAACAGTAGCAGCGCTACTGCCATCACCGTTATTGCTGTTCTCTTTACCCGCAACAGTTTCAGACGTTGTAGATGCCGCACTCACTAAACTCTCGCCCAAATCGTTGGCGAACGAACTGAAATGCGAATCGAAATCAGCAAAATTATCCGAATTGAAATCAGCTGTCCACGGTGTTGCATTGCTATTCGCGGTTAGATCGCTGAACGGATCCATATCATCCCATGGATTGTTAGTTACGCCGAACGCTTGTAGAGCTGATGTGGAAACAGCATTTTTGCCAAAGAGAGAGGAACCGGTTCCGCCGCCGCCACTGCCAGCACCGCTAGCGTTGTTTTCATCGTTCTCGTCATCGTCGTCGTCAATATTGCGACCGAACTGAAACAAATTAAGGTCGTTTTCGGCGTTATCATCGTTTTCGAGCAGATTATTGCGATAGATGTCATGTTCAAGCGCAAAAACTATGTCCTGTCGATTTGTTGATGGTGGTTGGCATACATTTTCGAATTGCGTTCAGGACACAACAAATAGACAAAGATAGCAGATAGTGAAATGATAGTGAGATGTATAAAAAGGACTACACACATAAATAGAACTACAGTGATTGCGAATGGTATAAAATACTTTTTCTCCTCGACAGCCTTGCGTGCGAGTTTTGAGAATAAGTACCTTTTTAAATGGTAACAAGCGGATTTTTTCGTAAGTATTTAAATGTGTTTATTGTCTATTTGCAAAGCGTGTGGTGAAAAGTGTTTAAGAGTGATATTAAAAAATGAAATGAAAATGAAAATGAAACGAAATGTTAATAAGTATCATCTGTGCCTGTGCATAATTACAAAACTAACTTCACTAGAAATATTACAAATTTTCAAAAATTTAATGCATTGCATATATTATGTGGCAAATAGCATCGTTTATGGCAAAATAATAATACGCACACATGTTATTTGGTTACGTTACTCTCCAAGATAATTTAGATTTATTTGTGAATTAGGCAGCACTGTTCAGAAATGCATACGGAAGCACTAGTTTGTGACATAGTACATAACTATGCAATGCAATTACAAAATTATTTTTTTACAAGTTTAATGACTCATTCTTTTTTTGTTCATTTACATTAAAAAATTATATTTTGTAGTATTTTTCTACATGACATTTGCATCAATTAGAGAAAACTTACGTTTGAACTGGAATCATTGAAGCCAAGATTGCTGCTAAAAATTTAATTTTACAAATTATTAAATTGGAAATGGTAATATAGGATATTATTCGCAACTAACTTACATCATATTCGATGACATAATATAATCCCAAGTGCTGTTATCAAAATCTTTTGATAAATGTGGACTGTAGTCGCCCGCCTCATGGGCATTACAATTCGCTAACATTTTATTTTGTGTGGCTAAGGCCTTTGTTAGATCACCATCGGTTGGATTTATAATTGATTGCCACAATTTTAACTCACACTCATCACTTAAATTACTCTCAATTAAGGCACCGATATGTTCAGATTCTGATATACTATTCGTAATATGTTTGAATATCTTTATTAAATGTCCCATATAACCGAGACGACGACCATTTTCGGCTGACCTATTTAGTAAATGAAGCAAAATTAAAACCAACTAGAGATTTTACGCAACAAAAGCAAGAAATTTACTTACTCCATCTCTGTGTTGTATTTCCAACAGTCAATTAATTTCGAAATCAGCTTACACTTTTCAATTACCTAAAATGCAAATATATTTTTCATTTATTATTTTTTCCGAAACTTCTTCAAAATGAATCAAAATTAATGAAAATTAATACGTACGTGTATTTGCAGTGCGGACGGAACACTGTCGGTTTGTGCTTTGGTTTTGTTCTGCTCGTTAATTTCATCTTCCTTACGTTCCTCATTAACATCTGAAGTAGTTGGCGCTTCTGCATTTTCTGTCACCTTTTCTACAGTACCTTCATCTGTTTCCATGGCGTTAGCACTTGCAGCGGTTTCATTAATATCGGATTTTTCTTCCCTTACTATTTCGCCTTTGCCTTCGCCAATTTGTTCATCCGTTTTCATTTCGACGTCTTCCTTTTCGATGGATTTTTCTTCTTTTTCAACATTTTTGTTTGCCTCATTAACTTCGAAATTTTCATCTTTGATATTATCAGACTTGAAAATGAAATCGAAAAACGATGTATTTTCCACATTGTTTCCCGTTTTATTGAATGAGCTATCATTCACAATTGTACTGCCTTGCATTGAATTATTGTTATTTGATAGTTTTGTATAAAATACTAATTGAAGACACTTTTCAACTTCGCTATGCAAAAAATTATTCCAACAATATTGCTTGAAGAGGATTAATAAAGTTTCGAAGAAATCCGTTTCACAGACACTACGACAAACAAAATGTGAATAGTAAAAGTATGTCTTTAGTATTATAAGTTATTATGCTTACGCTTTTGAAATTGTTTCGTTTTTAGTCTGCAATAATACTGTAAAAATACGGCAGATTTGCAAACGAGTCATGCCAAACGGTTGTGATAACTTGGCTGCTGTAGTCACTAATTCTGGTTTCTAAAAGGAAAAAAATATAAATTTAATGATATTCATATGTATGTATATATTTATATATTTACATTAGGCGGGTTTCTAAGTAACTCATTGAAATCTTTAAGACGCGGTGCAATGACACTAATCACAGTAAAGAGTATTTGTTCACGAATCTCTTTTTCACGATTTTGTATAAATTTCATACGATCGGAATTAGGTTCATCACTGTAAGGGCAAAACATCAATAAGAGTTCGTTTTTTTTTTTTGTTACTACTATCACCATTAGAACTTACGTAAAAACAACTGGTTTTAAAAGCATAAGTACAACCGATATTCCTGATACGACTGCGCTTTCTTGCGCGTTTGGTTCTAAAATCACATTCAACAAGGCTTCAACATTGCGCTCACTTTCGATACATTTCAAGATTGGATTTGAACCGTCAAATGTGGGCTCAAACGTGTCATTCTCCTGCTCCGTATAGCGCATAGAACGACCTTGTTGTATTAAATCACAGAGGAATTCCGCCACATTTGCGTGCTTGTCGGTTTCTTGAGGATTGCCAATTAATTCAATCAGTCTCTCTACGAGTTTATCCTCAGTGAGCCACTAAAATATAAATTGTTAGTAAAATTATGTACATAGTAATTACAACTGTTGCTACAATTTACTTCATATAAATTCCGTTTCATTTGACCTTCTACCTCTCGCATCATTTGCATTATCAAATCGGGTATAACGGGTGTGGAAAAATGCTTACAAATTAAATCCAAAAAATTATTTTGCGACTTAATGTATTCCAAGAGTTTTAGGCACATTTGTTGATTCAAAAACCAATCTTGTTCAGCCTTTTTTGTGAAGAGCATACTAAACGTTTTGCTAAAAAATGACGATAGCAAAGGATTTAACGGTGGTTCATTTTCCAGATATGAATATAGGGTTTCTAATATATGTTCATCAGACAAAAGCTTTTCATCTAAGGACGGCAAACCACTGAAATTCAAAAAAACAAACAAAATACAATATAAGTATATAAATAAAATTGGCAAAGTTATTTTTTGATGCTTACAGTGTTAAAATCTCACAAGCCATGTGCGCATGGCGATATCTTTGGGCCAAGGGTAGATCCTCAGAAGGTTCTGTCGTAATGAGTTCAACAAGGCGTCTGATTACATCAGTGCGAGTGAAACTATAATGAATTTATTTGGCTTAATTATAAATGTCCACACAAGAAATTCAAGTTCTCTCAAAATTAACTTACTAAATAACAATAGACTTTTTTTGTGACCGACACTCCAGTAGGATATCATCATCGTCCAGAAATTCCTCAACAGTAGCATTCTGAAAAAGATATATACGAATATTCTGTTTACCTAATTATATATTTACTGACCGCAAAACTGAAGTATGATTTTAGCTCAGGTAATGAAGTTATATTTGTTGCAATGATTATACACTCTTCGGTATGCAACAGCACGGAAACATAATAACTTTAACTCTCCTCTAAGCTAATAAAACCACACATTTTTCATCGCATATATACTATATACACTCACCTCTTTCTCCAATAGCGCCTCTATATTCTGTGACGGGGTGTAGCTTTTGTCCCAAAACATTTTTTATTCACCTTTATGCACGTACTTTAAATTTTCTACGTCGTTTTTTAAATTGTTGATACTCCAACTCAATTTTTTTTCTTACAAAATGATTCTGTTCTATTCTGTTGTTTCAAACGTCTGGCACAATTCTAAAATATATTATCAATTTTATAATTAAACTATAAAATATGTGTATATAAATATAATAACATATTAAAGGCGTTTTATTTCTAAAATCTGTGCTTCGACTTTTCACCTGCCCTTCTCTTCTGTATTTCTTTTACATACATTTGGTGCATCATCACTCGCGTATTAATTTAAGTTCTCATTATTTTGCAATGCACTCTGCTTAAATATTTATCAATTTTTTAGTAGGTTGTTAAATAAAAATAGAAGTTTTCAATGATTTATATTGCGATTTATTTGTCCGTTCAACTGATGAAAATTTTTCCACTTTTCATTTGACAGCTCAGGTTAAAAGCAAAGCAAAAAAAAAAAAAGAAGGAATGACAACAGCGCTATAAATCCCGTTCTTCTTCATACACATTAAAACGCTTTTCTCTTAGTTCAGCTATAAAATCAGCGAAATTTAGTGACGTATAAATAGGCTTACTTGTTGCTTATATTTATATTGTATGTCAGCCACCGCTTTTCATATTTTCCGCTTTTATTTACAAAATTACACAATACTTCAGATACCTATGAAAAAACACAATACCGCACATATCACAATAAATTGAAAAACTTCAATTTTTAACCAAAAGTACGAGTAACCACGTATTTATCACTGGCCAAATACACATCTCTAGTTGATTCCATTATGCCAACACAATGTTCGAATATTTTAACTTCAGCAAAATGTCTGCTCTTTTAACTAAACAATTACCAAATATGCATTATTCTTATCCCATGATGATATGAAATTAATCCAGGTTTTTATTAAGAGCGAAAAACTGCTACACACTTATTTCCGTCAGGTCATATCCATGCGACATACTATGAAAGTATCCTCACAGATTCGACGATCATTAACTCACCCAACAGTTTAGTCAACGATGTTAATTATGACTTTCGAGTTTTTGCCTAATGTTCTTTTTAGAGATTTAACTATTTTATTTCGGCTTCATTAGGAAATTTGCAACTAAATGTCGCCACGGCGAAATACTTCGTTTCTCTGCAAAGTTTTCACGTTTGACAGTTCACTATTTCATCTCTTGCTACATTCCCATTCGCTATGGCATTTTTGCGTCCTTTCCACACACTTTGGAAAGAACTGTCAATTTGCTATAAAATTGCGATTGCAGTAATTTGATTTTCTCTTTTAAATGGTATACAAATTTTACAAAAGAATACAACTTAGCTTATTATAATGTATGTTATTTTGGCAATTTGTGTATATTTCAAAATTTTTTAGTTTATATTACTTTGATTTTATTCTAAGAGATATTTATAAGATATGTTGAAATAGTGCATCCCGATTATTATCGATATATTTTGAACTTAGCTAATAAAAGCTAATAAAGTAGGGTTGTTTGATGGTCAAGTTCAGAGTTTGTCTATTTTTAACGATATCAACAAATCACTGGGCACTTAAAACTATGTGCATAAGCGATGTGCAAAATATAGATGGTGGCCATTTAATTAGGGTTTGCTGTGGGTGAAACAGAATATTATATAAACAGAGAAGACATGTATAAAGTGACCAGTGAAATATATGGTGAAACTAACTATAACTCAATCAAAGGTGACAATGGAAGAGTATTGTCCAAATTCAAATTCAAATATCCACAAGATGAGAATATAGTAGCCCAAAACGGTATGCTTTTTGATAAAGACGGTGACCTAATAGTGCAAAGAAAAAGAGGATCGACACTAGATGGTGTGATTGCCATTGAACACTCCGAAGCCACAGAACTACAATTGGTGGGGCTGCAAGTCTGGAGAGGTGCGCTGCTATTGGCTGACTATATCTTTCATAAACGTACCGAATTTTGTAACAAATTTATTTTGGAATTGGGTGCAGGCGTTGGGTTGACAAGTATTGCTGCAGCTCTCTATACGCAACAGGTCGTATGTACGGACGTGAATGTCGGTGGGATATTAGACTTAATACGTGAAAATGTAAAACATAACTTCAAATTGCTTCAAAATCGCAATAAAATTAATGTATTGGAGCTAGATTTTCTAAAGCCTGTTGAAGAGTATGCACCTGATCTCTTAAAAGCTATTGATAATTGTGATATTGTAGTGGCAGCTGATGTGATTTATGATGATGACTTAACTAATGGATTTATACGTGTTATAGATGTGCTTTTTGAACGTGGAAGATTATCTGGTAAAAATAAAACGGTTTTAATAGCATTGGAGAAACGTTACGTTTTCACACTTCCGGATTTGGACACAACAGCACCAATGTTTGAATATTTTTTAAAACAAACTATCCATAAAGTATGGTTATTTGAGTATATCGATACAAACAGCTTTCCACAATATTTTGAATATGATCGCTCCAGACATTTAGTTTTGTTAAAAGTAACTTATGGCAAATAAATTTTATTTATAAAATTAAGTATTTATTAGCTTTACTTAATATAAAAAGTCATTATGAAACAGCAAACCAGACAATTATAAATAAATATAAAACTATGCACAAAAGTACTAAAAGAAAATCCTCAATAGTTTGATTGTAATTAAGGTATAACCCTTAATTACAAATCCTGCATTGCGAGAATAATATTCTCAAGAGCTGTACGGGCATCAGTAGCAGGAAACTTTTCAAGTACTCCTATTGCTGCGGTAGTATGTTTACGTTGCAATTCTTTGGTCTTTTCCAAGCCTGGTCCATTGAGAATTGCTTTGTGAATTTTCACGTAGTCAATTTTTTCTACAGAGACTTTACCCTTTTCAATTTCATCGTATAATGAAGGGTCGTATTCTAGATGATAGAGAACCGGCGCACTTACCAAACTAAACGTGGTATCTGTAAATCAAATATGTATATAACATGAGCAATATATTGTGAAAATACTCATTTACCTAAAGGGAGTGTAGGGATTTGAAATGGCTCGGCATCCAAGCAAGCCTGCCATGCCAATGACAAATGTTTACCAAAAAGGTATGCTTGCCTTTGCATGTTCTCATCTTGACCTGCTAATTTTAACGCGCCCTGACACGCTTTCCCCAGCAATGATCCTGCATTTAAAATATTGCGACATTCCCATTCTTTTTCAGGATTACCCATAGCTTTCAAGACATTCATAGGTATCATGACGTCATTGACATCGAAATCGATGCTTTCTGTTGTTGCTGTACCGTTTGTTTCAGGAGGTTCAGATCCGGGTTTCGTGGGTAGTGGATTATTTTGTTCATCACGGTCGCCAATAAATTGCGATTCAGAAAAATCGCGAACCGCTGATGAAATTAATTCGACGACTTCTTGATTTCGTAAATTAGCTAATTCAGCACTGGAGTGACCAAGTAGGTAATCACCAGTTAATAATCCAATTTTGTTTCCAAAAGCCATATCCTCATAAGAAGCTGTGTCCTTTCCAGCCTCGGATGTTGGTTGTAGATTTACTATACTCTGTAATTTTAAGGATTCTATAAGCACAAATAATAGCATTACAAAATAAACATACATTGTGTACCAAATGAGATATTCTAATCATTTCGGTAACTTCTGCCAATGCACGTTGAGAGTGCAATACACCAGCGCTTTTATCTTGTTCCATATCCGGTACTGAGGATGCATGTCCAGCGGCTTTTGAAATCAGCAATACAATTAGACCCCAGGCTTGCATTGTATTTTTGCCATTATAAAGCAAATGTCTACAAATTAACGGATTAATAATTTTTTTTTTAATCTAGCAAAAGAAATTACTTTGCAGTTTTGAGTAAAGGATGATTGCTTCCAACTAATTTTCGGAGATGCAAAGCGACATTAGCAATCTCATCACTAAGTAGCCATCGTAGACTGAGGAATGAAGTGGGATAGCCAACAATCCGCTCTGCTTCACTGACAGCGCGATTCCAGTCGTGCTTCGGAGGTGTTGGCTTTGCTGCTGACGTTGACGTCAGCTTGCGAGCAGTTGGTTGTTGTGCAAAAGTGAAAGCTGCTGCAGGTGCAAAAGGCCATAAGCGCGTCTGATATTTACCTAATGCAGCCCACTGCCTGTTGCTTTCTGTTACTATTTGCTTCCACATTGCCTACAGTATTTATAATTTATGTTATGTTTTCCAAAAAAGCGTATTCGATTATAGTAGAATATTTCACTAAAAAAATAAGACACCACCTGTACGGAATGGATCAACGTCTGATCATAAGCTTTACTCGTTGAGAAATGAAACTCAAGTCGCGGTGTGGTTAATTTTGTGGAAAGCTCACGCAGGTAAGCTGTAGTGTATGTGATTTATTTAATAGCGATTTCTGTTTGTTTACTATTTACTTTCTTCTCTCTTCTCCACTTATTCTCTCTAAAGATTACACAAATTCGAGTTACATAGCTTTTGCACATTTTTTAACAGCAAAACCGGTTTAGTGGTATTTATAATACATATATAAAAAAAAACATAACAAAGAGATATCAGCTGATCGATGGATTGCCATTAGTCTAAATTTAATTCCAAAGTTTTTGAGGGTTCTAATTTTTAAAATATGTATGTTAAGTATCTGTCACACACAACATTGTTAGCTTTGGGTGACAGTTCGTACTGAAACAATGAAGCTCAGAAAACAAAGGTGTGGCGGTGTACCACAATGAACGTTTGACTTGTGTTTCTCTCTAATAAAAATGGGGACTGTTGCTTGGTAAGTCTTAAAAATTTGAGAGTTGCTCAGTTTTATGAAATTGTGAAATTAGGTTTCAAAAAATAAATAAAAGCGGAAAAACTGCATGTAATTCTTGTCATATAAAATAGCGGTGTTGTATGAGTTATGTGGTGAATACAATGCTCGCGACAGACTGCAAACGACATATTAAAATACACACGTTCTTATGGACAGACCTATTTTGGCAGCTGCACGACTACCCGACTGCAGGCCGACAGTTGTCGTTCTCGCTAATTTCAATTTAATCGTATATTTGCCAACGACAGTAGAGTAGACAGTAGAGATATGAGGAAGAGTGGTGATGCCACTAATATGTAAAATTTAAAATTAATCATAGCTCTAACAAACTTGACGTTTTTTACAAAAGAAAGCATAAAATAGCTCTGTTACATCATTTGTAATAACAATTGATAATTTAAAGCACAAATGTATTCCTATTTACTTATTTTTTGCTTAAAAATTTCAGTTTGAACAAAATATTAAAATTTCAATGAAGTGCAAGGTATTAGTATGGCCACAACGAAATTGTGTACATGCAAAATGGACAACTGCTCTCTCGCAAACGTTCATGTAGTAGGATTCAAAACGCGTGTCGTGCTGCTACAGTCTGTCGCGAGCATTGTGTTCAACACATGAAGAAACATCTAAAATCGACTTGATTCCTCTCAGCTTTCAAATATGCGATTTTGCGAGCTCTCATACAAAAGCAAAATAGCGCTAGTTGGTAAAGTGTTAGCAACGTATGATGCAATATGTGAGAATTATCAATCACTAAAGCGTTCACAACCCCCGTATGTGCAATGAAAAGCACAGCAGGCATAAGAGCGTCTTTATAAACGTTATAAAAGGGGCATACAAACATCGTATGTATTTCATTTGCATTTTGAAGCTTAACGCGCCAAACATATGTGGGCATTCAGCAATTTTATACTGAAGAAATCAAAACGAAATTAAATTTCATTAAAAATGTGTGGCATATTCGCAATATTTTCAAAAAATGGCGAGCCCATAGCACCAAGAGTCTTCCATGGTAGTATCCATACTTTGCGGGAAATTGGGTATCGTCAAAGTGGTAAACAACGGCATCGAGGTCCAGATGACACGGGCGTAAAGGTGCTGCCGGATCATGGTGTAGTATTGATACATGAGCGTCTATCGGTTATTTGCGTAAAATCAGGGCATCAGCCTTTGGTTTCGGAAAACGGTGATGTGTTGTTAGTGGCAAACGGTGAAATTTACAACTACCTTGAACAGTCGGCGGAAATCGCAAAGAAGCGTGGACATTACAAACCCAAAAGTGATTGCAATGTCATTGTTGAGCTTTACGAAGAGTATGGCGAGCAATTGTTGGAATACATCACTGGTATGTTTGCCTTTATGCTCTATGATAAACGCTCGAAGAATATTTTGATTGCTCGTGACCCTTTTGGGATAATACCGTTATATATTGGTGAAGATTCAGATGGCAATGTATGGGTTTCTTCAGAAATGAAGTGCCTCGTTGAATTTTGTCCCAATTTGGAGCTTTTTAAGCCCGGCGAGCTACGAGTAGGACCGGCTAATAATTTGCAGCGTAAGAAATATTTCAAAGAGGAGTGGATTGAACATATACCCACCCAACAGGTGGATTTGACAATTCTGCGCTCCAAATTAGAATCAGCTGTACGTTCCCATCTGCAGTGTGATGTTCCCTTTGGTGCGCTGCTCTCAGGCGGTGTTGATTCTAGTCTAGTAGCTTCAATTGCGACAAAATTGCGCCGTGAAAGTGTTCCTACATTCCGATTAAAAACGTTTTCAGTGGGCCTGAGAAATGCACCTGATTTCAAAGCGGCGAAACTAGTTTCTGACTATATAAACAGTGATCACACCGAAATAGTTTTTGAAATAGACGATGCTTTGGATGGCATACGTGATATTATCTACCACTTGGAAACGTACGATGTAACAACGGTACGTTGTAGTCTGCCAATGTTGTTATTGGCACGTTATATTAAAAGCTCTGGTATTAAGATGATTTTGTCTGGCGAAGGTGCCGATGAAATATTTGGCGGTTACTTATACTTTTTCAGAGCACCAAGTCCAGTAGAGTTTCACAAAGAATTAGTAAAGCGAGTCGAACTAATTAATGTATCCGATTGCCTGCGAGCCAATAAAGTCACAATGGCCAAAGGTCTGGAGTTGCGAGTGCCTTTCCTGGATACTGCCTTTGTTAACTATGTGATGTCAGTCAGACCCGAAGATAAGATACCTGGTAATCTTAATTGCTTAGATAATATGCAAAAATACCGTATTGAAAAGCACATACTACGCGCTGCATTTGCCAATAATTACCTACCCGACGAAGTACTGTGGCGGCAAAAGGAACAATTTTCTGATGGTGTCGGCTACGACTGGATTGATAGCATACGTCGTGTGGCGACCTCACATATAAGTGATGAACAGTTTTCTACAGCTGCCGTACGTTTCCCTATTAACACACCAACTACTAAGGAAGCCTATTATTATCGCACAATTTTTGAAGAGCTGTTCCCTGGTACAGCAGCAGCAGAAACTGTGACACGTTGGGTGCCACGTTTGGATTGGGGATGTCCTGAAGACCCATCTGGCCGTGCTCAAGCTGTTCATCAAGTGCATCAATGAGTGTGAATGAAGAGGTTGGAATACTGATTGTTATTTGTAGTCGTTTCGACGACTGCAAAATTTTTAGCTGTTTTGAATAATATTCCATCATTATTATATTTACAACAAGAAAATACATAAATATATACATCCAGATGTACATATGTACATATATAAGGTTTATTTGAACTTGTGCTTAAGTACCCACTAAGAGTTTTTAGCTATACATATATAAAAAGTAATACCACCTAATAACAGGCAAATAAAAACAAAATTTAAAATGATTAAGTATTTAAGTATAGGTCATAAAAAATAAGAAGATAAGGAAATTGTCTGGCTCAGTAAGGGAAAATGTGTTCATACATATGCACAGAACGTTCGAGTTAATGACTCTTCTTAAAAGTAAGAGTAGAAAAAAAAAAACTTCTTGAAGCATGTTTTTGTCATTTTTCCGTGTGCAGTGCTGAATTATTACAGAGGATTTACGCCTATGCATAGATTAATGTAGTACGTATGGATATTCCTTTTCTTTCCATAGAAAAATAATATTTCAATTTAATCTTGTATGATTGCACACTAAGTGTTCATATTATATTATCTTCTTTATGAGAGTTTTTTCACTGCTTCTTTCTAAATTACTTAGAAATTAAATTAACTATTTGAAACGAACTGAATATCGTGCTTATTTCTGATGATCAGAATTTTTGAATAATCCTACAGATTGGGATTGGCATTCAGCGGAGCAGGTTCGTCGATTACAAGAATATTTATAAATAATAAAACTTAATTTTAAGTTTTAGTGGTAGGAAATATGCTGCCAAGCTGACAGTCCTAGGCCGGATATAAGTTTTGCTTAGTTTTTAACAGTTCCGGCTACGTAGGCACGACTATTGTTGGAATATTCACATATTCACGAAGTATAATCCCAAAGTAAAGACACTGAAATTGGAGAGTTATTGTATTTTTCATCTTATTATCAATGGATATAATATTAGTAAAAACTGAAGAATTACTTAATTTTTTTATTGCTGTTAGCGCTAATTTGTTTTTAAATATATGTCGCCTTGGTCATAAACACAGGGTGACCTCTATATTAATTGACGCAGTTAATTTGTAAATCCTTTTCCCAAATTTATCAAAGATTAAGTTCATACCAGATATGATAATATTATTCCTTTTTAATTTTTCAGTTATCTAATAAATTATTGAAGTTAATATATTTTCACCCTTTAAAAACAACCAAAAAAGAAATTTTTTAATTATCTTACTCATGACATTTATCAAATCTCTGGTTCGTCTTCAAGCATTTTGACGGACGAAATTGAAAATGACATAATTTTACGAAGAGCTAGCAAATATCCAGCAATTATATATGTGGCTGCGATTTTAAAATAAAAAATAAAACATAAACGAATCGAAAATATGTGAAAAAGTTATGGCAAGTTGTAAGGAATTAGATAAAAAATATTTATTTCCAATTGTAAAGTAAAAAAATAATAATTGTAACAAAAGAGTGTATCGTTGAAGATAAAGATAGAAATTTGGAAAAGGTGAAGCCGCCGCAACTGCGTCACTTATTGGAAAACGGGAGTGAAGCAGAAACGGAAAACGCGAATGTAGTATTAGAATAAAGCGAATGAACATATATATTTTGTAAATGTAAGTGCGTGTTTTTTTTGTTTAGTGAGCATTTTAAAGTTACCGTAAAAAAGTCGAGAATTGTTGAAAACGGTTATAAACTGAATATTTATTAAATATAGTGAAAAAACAGGAAGCAGCAGAATTAACAGCGCATAGCAGAAGTTTAGAAGAGTAGAAGGTGAAGGAAAGAAACGTAGCGCTTAAAAAAAGAGAAGAAGAGACATTGGAATTTGTTAAATGTGAGTACATACTGTAAAAGCAACAGCGGACGTCTTGGACGTGGGGCACGTCAAATAATGATACATAAAATAAAAATAATAGAGAAATTTCTTTATCTAATTAAACAATATGTTTAAAATCGTCCTTTATTTGTCGGCTAACTTTCCATCTATTTAGAAGTGAAAAGGTAGAGAGTGAACAAAAATAAATGTTAGGCATTATTTTCCGAAACTAAAAAGGAGACAAATTGGCAAAGTATCAATCAAGGAGCGAGCAAACGCCCTGCAAGTTCCTGATTGCGCGAAAGTCACAAGCAGAGGCCCTGCTGGAAAATCAATTTCTCCTACTTCTTGTTTGGGATAAAGGATCAAAGAGTATTATTGAGTTGTTACAAAAACAGTGGTAACAACAACACAAATCAACTAAAGGGGCACATCTGTTATGTCGTTATCATTAATAATACAAGATATTTTTCTTGTTCGGTGAGTTTTTTTTATTAAAATGTTAAAAAGCTCTGCACACTTGTGATATGAGATCATATGTACAGAAAGTGACGCAAATTGTCAGCTTCCACATAATTTATTAATACGGAAAATTTACAAGTAGAAACCGAAAAAACATGTGGTGAGGCTCCGATACCTCGTAGCAATGATGGGACTTGTCATAAATAAAGGAGTGAATATGAACAATACAATACTCTCTTTATGTGTTAAAAAGCATACAATTGCTTTTCTCAGTGGCGGCTACAACACTTCGCCATTCATTGCTCGTTCAATTGAAGCAAATTTACAATTACTTTGACATTTCTTTGGCCAATTGTCTATACAGCGCGTGCGGTGTCAACACTACCGTTGCTGGAATATATTGCCGGCAACGATTGCCATTTTTTTCAATTAAAGTACACAACATTAAAAAAAATTGGATTATAAATAGAAAATTGCGTATGCGATAAACAGTTAACATCGATGACGACGGCAAACTTTTCTTGAGGCTTTGTCCTATTTATTTTATTTTATACTCTCAAAAAGACTTGAGAAACTACGTTCTATTAAATATGACATCAAATAAATTTATATACAATTTTCCATTAAACCAGCATTTTATAAAATTTTGGGATCAAAAAACCAAAGATCTAAAAATTTTTGATATAATCATTTCTTATAGGTAGAAAACAATAAAACATTGTATTTTCTATATAAAAAGTTTACATAATATATATGCATATATGTACATTTGTATACGTGTGTATATAATATATGTATGTATATGCGATAATTCGTTGCTTGGTAATGTAAGGATTTGTTGATAAGGAAGAAAATTTATAGAATTTATACAATGTTCATATGATTCTCAGACTTTTGATTCTCGATAAAGAAGCTCACATAATTTTCCATAAAATTAAAAGAAGAACAAATACTGAAACACACGAAAGAAACTGTATTGTTAAAGTTGTTGGAAAGTAACGCCATACCCACATTTTTTAAATAATTATATACTGATCAAATTCGGGATTTGATAAGCAATAAATAATAGTGAAGTGCGTGAGTAGCAGAAGATGTAGAAAAAATAGCTTTTAGTTTTTATATATCTAGTTAATGGAAATAATCAAAGCTGGTTAGACCGTACACACCTTGTAACTATTTCTATAATAGTGACGTACATACATATATTAACGACCAGAAACAACCGGTGCTCACAACCGGTGGTTCTCTTTTTATTCTGTTTTCTTTACTTTTCGCTATAAGGCGATGAAAGATGATTCACTCGGCGAAATCATCCGCTCCCACACTCTCCTATCATAAGGTGCACAATTTGGTGGGTCGATGTCAGCCACGGTAATTATTATCTGTGCTGTGAAAAAATAAAATAAAAACATAATAATTTATTTGTCACCAAGTGCTTCAGGTTGTACATAGACGCAGTTGCGCATATTCAGTGCAATAATCAGAAATACTGTTTTTCAACTGCTTGAATTATAAATCGTTCTGATGGAAAATGTGATTACCAAAATCTTTAAACTACATAATTCATTTGAAAATTGTAGTGATTGTTTTCCTTTTAACATAAATAAATAATATTGGCGCGCGGTCAGTGGTTTGAATAAACATTGAGTACATATTTAAAACAAGGTTTTTAAAAATTTCGAGTGTAAAAATGTTGAGATAATAAAGAAAGCTTTGCTGGTTCAACTAAAATTACAAATTACAGAATTAAGAAAATGACGGCATTGGAAATAAAGTTTTGTTTCTATTGGTAAATTCAGAGAATACATAGTTTTATTATTTGTTACATATTTGATCGCGTTACGCTAATATAAATTTTCATCTATATTATTTTCAGCACTGATACAGATTGAACAACGCGGCGATTTGCCGTGACCCGCCCTACTGAATAGTCTATAGAAATTCAACACTGCAAAAATCGGCATTATGGCGTATCGTAAACCAAACGATTTGGATGGCTTCATTCAAATGATGCCCAAGGCGGATATGAGAGTTAAAGCTCTGCTGGCCGAAGACTTGGTCACATTCCTAAGCGATGAGACAAATTCAATCGTTTGCATGGACATGGGAATGCTTGTCGATGGCCTTATGCCTTGGCTTACCGGTAGTCATTTCAAAATTGCACAAAAATCGTTGGAAGCATTTTCCGAACTGATAAAAAGGCTTGGACCTGATTTTAATGCTTACAGTGCAACTGTGCTGCCACATGTTATAGACCGTCTTGGTGACAGCAAGGATACTGTCCGTGAGAAAGCACAATTGCTATTACAAGTTGTTATGGAGTACAAAGTGTTGACCCCACAAGCGACAATCGACAAATTGGCGGCATCTTGCTTTAAACATAAGAATTCTAAAGTTCGTGAAGAGTTTTTGCAAACTATTGTAAATACATTGAACGAATATGGCACCTCACAGTTGAGTGTTCGCACTTACATACAACCTATTAGTGCACTGCTTGGTGACCCTACAGCAACCGTACGCGATGCAGCTATACAAACACTTGTAGAAATATACAAGCATGTAGGTGACCGTTTGCGGGCAGATCTACGAAAGATGGAGGATGTTCCTGCATCAAAGTTAGCTTCGCTTGAGCAGAAATTCGATCAAATTAAAGCGGAAGGGCTCTTACTGAAGTCGGCATTGCAAACCACAGCATCTGCGAACAATGGCCATGACGAGTCGGATAATGTCAGTGTGCGAGACCGGCCAACAAAAATTGTTAAACGTACTGTATCTGCGTCGACGCGAGCAAAACCAAATTCCTCAGATTCTAGTGCTGGTGCGGATGCTGGCGCCGTAACTATGGATATCTTTGAGTCTACTTTCGAAGTTGTGCCACAATTAACTATTTTTCACCCAAAAGACATGGATGATATTTATCGAAATATTATTGTTGTAATTAGCGATAAAAATGCTGATTGGGAGAAACGCATAGATTCGTTAAAGAAAGTTCGTTCATTACTAATGCTGAATATACAATCACAACCACAGTTTGTTGCGCAGCTGAAAGATCTTTCAATACCATTCCTTGACATACTCAAGGAGGAGCTACGTTCGCAAGTCATACGTGAGGCATGTATTACAATAGCCTACATGTCGAAAACACTACGTAACAAACTCGAACCATTCTGCTTTTCTATCCTAGAGGCGCTTATTAATTTGATTCAGAATTCGGCTAAAGTTATTGCGTCTTCATCGATTATTGCACTCAAATATATTATAAAGTATTCCCATTCGCCGAAAATGATTAAACTCATTACTGAAACATTGCAACAATCCAAATCCAAGGACATTCGAGCCACTTTGTGCGAAATGCTTTGCCTGATGTTCGATGAGTGGCAAACGAAAACGATGGAGCGCTGTTCTCAACAACTACGTGATGTGCTCAAACGTTCAATAAGTGACGCAGATAATGAAGCACGACGTCATTCTCGTCGTGCTTATTGGAAATTTCGACGACATTTTCCTGATCTTGCTGACCAAATCTACACCACACTAGATATTGCAGCGCAACGTGCACTAGAACGGGAGCGTGATGGTGGCAATGGTACTATGGAAGTGGAACGGCGCTCTGCAGCTGCAACCACTCGATTTCAACGTTCGCCAGGTTCACTACAAAAGCCTGCGGCAGGAATGCGTAGCGTGTCGGCTGTGGATACTGCAGCTGCTCAACGTGCCAAAGCTCGCGCCCAATACTCCTTCTATCCGCGAAAAAAGTTAAGTACTGTTAACACTGCTGCTGCGTCAGCCAATTCTGGAACAACAACTTCAGCTGCCACCGGTTCCTTACCGCGTCCACGGTATATGGGAGGTGGAGCAACGTCAACGTCGAACACTGGAGGGCAGCTAACTGCTGGTGTTTCTCCACGAACACGAGGTCGAGCTGGAGTTTCACAGTCACAACCTGGTTCTCGTTCCACTTCACCAAGTTCCAAGTTGCGAGAACAATACGGGTATAGGCCAATAACTGGAACCATACCGAAGAAAGCTTCGGGCATACCTCGTTCATTGACCAGTTCACGCGAAACGAGTCCCACCCGTGTCGCCATGAAAAGGAGTATTTATGCCACAAATAGTTCGGCCAGCTCCGTAAGAAGAACACCTGATCGTAGCAATTCGCGTTCCCTAGCGGCAGCACGTATTTTACAACAAAGCCGTGAGGCTGAGACGGCATTAGCCGATGCTCTTTCTCCAGAAGCAGAGAGAGTTATTGATTATGGCGAGTATTCGCGCGGGTATACAGCTGGCTTACGAATGGGTCGTAAATTGTTGTCGCGCGACGAGTCCGACGACTCCGAGGCATCGTCGGTGTGTTCGGAGCGGTCGTTTGATTCGTCAATGACGCGAGGCAACAATTCGAATTATTCGTTATCAGGCTCACGAAATAGATTGGATTGGAGTTGCACGCGCGCACCTTTCGATGATATCGACACTATTATACAGTACTGCGCCTCGACGCATTGGTCGGATCGCAAGGATGGAGTTATCAGCTTAACTCAATACCTTGCCGATGGTAATCAGCTAACATCACAACAACTACAGGCTGTCTTGGACATGTTCCGTAAATTATTCATGGATCCACACACAAAGGTGTATTCTCTGTTTCTTGATGCAGTTACTGAATTGATTCTTGCGCATGCCAACGATTTGCAGGACTGGCTTTTCGTATTGCTGACGCGACTATTTAATAAACTTGGCACAGAACTGCTCAATTCAATGCACATCAAAATCGGCAAGACATTACAAGTTGTACATGAATATTTTCCAACCGACCAACAGCTGAAGGATGTCTTCCGTATACTCGCCGACACGGCACAAACACCCTGCACCAAAACAAAGATAGCCATATTGAAATTCCTCACAGACTTGGCAACCAGTTACTGCAAGTCCACCGACTTTCCTTCTGACGATGGCCCATTAGCAGTTGATAAGGCTGTGCTGAAAATTGTTCAACAAGCTGGTGATCCCAAAAGCAAGGATCTACGTGATCAAGCGCGTAAGTGTCTCATTGCACTCTACAATCGCAACACACCACAGATGACTAAGTTGCTGTCTAGCCTTCCAAAAGGCTATCAAGACACCGCCAAAGCCATTATACAGTCGCATTTGCGACGCAACAGCACTTCTGGCACAAATTCGCCATCTTCACCTCATTCAAGTGCCAGTCCTAAACCATTACAAAGTCCATCGCTTGGACCCTTCTCTTCGCTACAGCCACAATACAATACCACCAGTCCACGCTCACGACAATCCTCCGTGGACCATGAACTCTATTCGGAGGCTGATGTGCAGCATAATATACACAAAACATCGGAAGAAATCCGAAATTGCTTTGGTGTTGGTGTCGGTGTCGGCATAGAGGCAACATCCAACAATACTCGGCAATACCATTCGCTCTCCAATGCCAATGGCTACAATGGCTATCTGCATGATCAGCAAGATTCGTGCGCTTCTTCCAATTCAAAGACACAGTCCGCCACCACAACCGAATCGAACACACCTGAAAGCACCACAATGCGTTTAGATGCCAACTTGTTGGAGCAACATCAACGCATAACCACTAATGTTGTGCTAACAACAGCGACACCCAATGCCAACACAGCAGTCGTAGGTGGCACTGCAAACCATACTTCGCGTTGTAATTACACCGTCGCATCGAACGGTGAGCTTTTACTCGAAAACGGCTTAACCGAAAGCGAAATTATACGGGTGGCATGTGCATTAAAAGCCGATATGCCGGTGGAGCAGGTTCAACAGGCTCTCGCTAATTTGGAAATTTGCATTAAAGGAGGAAATTGCGAACTTCCCAACAAACATTTTCGTGCTATAATGAAAATGCTGTTGGGACTGCTGGACTCGCAAACAGCCGATGTTATGATCGCCGTTATAAGCGTGCTCGGCAAGATTGTGCGTAGCACCAAAATGAAGGAAACGTGGATCAATTTCCTCGAGCTGATTTTGCTGCGAATAATAAACTGTTATCAGCACAGTAAGGAAACGGCTCGCGAAATCGATTTGATTATACCTCGCATAGTATCATCATTGCCGCTGAACGCCACCATCAATATTGTAAATCCTGTTATTGCGACTAGTTGTTATCCGTTGAATTTGTGCGCTGTGAAATTACTCACTGAGTTGGCAGATCGTCACGGCGGAGAATTGACCGAATTACACTTGGACAGTATATTCCCTAATTTGGCACGTCTCACCGATGATAGCGAATCCATGGTGCGAAAGGCCGCCGTTTTTTGTATCGTAAAACTTTATATAGTGATGGGCGAAGAAAGGGTGAAGCCGAAATTGTCGGTGTTGAATCCAAGCAAAGTGCGTTTGCTAAACGTTTACATTGATAAACAGCGCAGCAACAGCGGGGGTGGCAGTTCAACGAAAAACTCATCAGCTTCATCGTCATGATTGCGTCGCACGTAGATAGCTCCGCATGAAGTTGTGGTTGAAGATCGACGGAAATTGCAGCAACTGGCCAATAAAAGGCAATAGATAAGACGCTACGCCGTCTGGGGCCGTTTGTTAAAGATTAGCCGTTGAGTGTGGACGGTGTGTATGTATGTGCGTGCGTACGTGTTGTATGTGTATTTGTTAAACAAAATATGTAGGTAAAAGCATTAAATGCAGTAGTATAACACAGAAGCAGCTTACAGCGTTACCAAAGTGGAGCTCTAGGAATGTATATCAAAAATCTTTTGAAGATTTCCTTACATATGTTGTACAAGATTCGAATTATTACAAATATTTAGGCAAATTGTAAATTAGCATAACCGCGGTAACAAAAACAAACAATCAGAGGAAAGGTTGCTTCCCAACAAATTTTTGATGGATACTGGCTAAAAAATAATAAATATGTACCACGCTTTGCATTTATTCTAAACTTAGTTCGACTCCACTTTGGTGTAAGCGTGACAGCTTATGATAGAACCTACTTCTTGGCGAGTTTGCATTAGAAATCTAACATGCATTTGCATACTTTTGCTTATAAAAAAATTAAAACATAAAATTACATGTAAATTGGTAAAGAAAACACATTAATTACTAGAGAGCTGCATAATTGTAATTTGTTAGTTATAACCAATAATTAAAACGAATGGAAAAAGGAGATCATACTCATTTCCTGCACATTCTTTTCTTAACTATAATTTGCCACACTTTCCAGTACATGAGATATTGTCTAACTCCCTTTGTTGCATTTAAATTTGAACGCATAAAACAAGTATATTTTAATTTCGTATTGTTCCCCTTAAATAATATCTGTTTATTTATATAATTTTCTCACCTACTTACCCAGCCGTGTAACTATGTTTTTTTTTATGTGTATTCTAAAGATTTTAGTTTAATGTATTTACGTTCTCAGTATAATTCTTTTGTATATTTTGCGTGTATTTCTTTTTTTTGTTAAGACTTTTTAATTACTTGTCCTTTATGTAATTATAAGCCTAATGATTTTCTCACAAACGATATTTCGAAATTTTACACAAACGAAAATATTGATGTTAAATACATAAAATATATAAAAAAGAACGATAAAAATATTTTTAATTTTAAATTCGGTAATCCTACAGCTAAGTTATGCTCCTATAACATAATAATATGTTTTCCCAAAGTTCATGGGTGGAACACGGGGCCTCAAAATATACTATGATAAAATAAGCAGTAATTCATTAAAACCAGAAATTTCTCGATAGATGTATATATATGTATGTATGTTTTTTACTTGACGTTTTCTTGGCAGTAATACCTGTGTTTTAGATTTCTCTAGCTGCAGTTGGCAATGTAGACAAGCATAAAGTGGATTGCTGTGTGGATTTGCATACAAAATCATTTTCTTCAGCCTGTTTCTCCTTTGCTGTATTCGATATAATTTTTTGTAACTATTTAAATATAAAAGTACATTTTTAAAACCAATCACAGTGGTGTTTGAAATCACATTATTTCGGTAAATATATAATACCGTGTAATAAAAATGTAACCAAAAAAACTTTATGAAAAATAGCAGAAAATTAAGCAGTAATAGATAATACAAGTTATTATTAATATACTTATAAAATTATAAATATAAAACAACTACATATACACATACATATTTCAATTTCGTTACACACTTTATATTGATATTTGTGAAATTTAACCGAAAGATGGAAAAATTAAAGCTAAATAGTATGCAATACGTTAATACATTTAATAAATAATAACAAAATATACATATACATGTGTGTGTATGTATGAAAAACCCAAAGCTGTAGTAGAAGTGGCAGAACCTATAACCAAATTAACTATACGCCAACCCTCCATGCGTTGAAGGAGGAAAGCGCGCATTTTAATGTAATTCAAATATATTTATAACAATCTAATAGAGTTGCCGATGTATAAGACAAGGAACGAACTTCAATAAATCACTATTAACATGCGTAATAAACAAATATTTAGACTAGCTTAGTTTTTCAAAATAATTGAAATTTGAATAAACAAATAAACAAAAATATTTGAACACAGTTTTGTTAACTGTTTTTTTTTCTCATTATTGTCGCCATGGTCTATGACACAATTCGAAGATGTTGATTGATTAATAGTCGCTGTGACCAAAGCCTTTTTCGGCAAATGAAATTACACTTTCTTTAGTAAAGTTATCAATACTAACCGAAATAAGGCGCTATAGATTGTTGTTATTGAAACGGCAGAAATTATTCCTGAAGTAATTTCGAAAATTGGTGCCGAGTTGACGTTCATTGGCCAGATAAAAATCTGGGTTCGCCCCGTCTAAGTACACACGACTGTTGTGGGAACGGATAGCTGGTAACACAATTGACTTTAAACTTTTAAAACCCAATGACAGACTGCCTTCTGACACTTTATATTGCTTAAACCCCACTTTTGGCTATGGTAGTATAAATATCTCGCTAGTCAAGGTCAACTTTAATTTATTGAGAGGGTTTTCAAAGGAACTTAAATCTATTTTTATTTTTTTTTTACATATAAAATAATAAAAACAAAAAGTGTAGGTCTACTCACATTTTGAACATTTTTATATGAATTTTTTCAAATAATAACTATATGTTTCCATTGTGTATTGTGTATACTAAAACTGAAATAATGTCTTGATTGGAGAACGAAAATTCCGTCATTCGTGCTCTTATATAGCGATACGTTTCTGTAATGAGCTCAATGTAGCAGCATCATTGTGGTTAAATTGATAACATACACCTATATTTGCCTTTAATATTTTGATTTTTCGAATATCTTTTTAAGTTAATTTGAACAGCACAAGACATTTAGGAAAATCGCTGTAAACGTAATAATGTGTGAGTATGCATATATTTGACATAACCAACATTTTCTCTAACATCTGTTGTTTGTTTATTTATCTTGTACATTTTTGTATTATCTAACTCTCATCTACCTTCAATCAAAAGTGCTTCAATTTGTTCAAGAAATTTGTTAGTTTACGGCTTCAATGAACAATCAATCCAAATCATTGGTACTAACGCCCGTATAGATAGGCTCGTCTCCCGTTTTATCCAGCTTATCATCGCCGGATTCACTTTTACTTTTAAAACTCCCTGCTTCTTTGTTTCCTGAATCGGAATCCTTCTCCTCAGCATCGCCAATTTCAGCATCTCCCGCATTTGGCACCCAGAGGCCAGAATCCACGCAACGTTTCATATGGTATTTGGCTTCCTCCACAGGCATTTCGGTTATGGTTTTTTGTAGCAATTCGATATCACGCGATTCAAAACATTTTTGAAGGCTCTAAACAAAAATTAATATCAATACAATTCTGCATTTTTAAAATTTGGTTATTTACTTACTTCTGGCAGTGTTTCAAAGACTTCTGCAGGATCCAGTCCACCAGGTCCAAGTCGCGCTGCCTTCTCCTCCTCCTCTGCTTCGGCTAAAGCTTCTTTGATTTTCTCTTGCGCTCGTTTTGTTATGCGATCTTTGAAACCTTTAATTTCACTTTCGAACTGTTCTTTATACTCTGGCACACAATTTTGAATTTTGGAGAAGAATGAACTAACACAGGCACGTGGATCAACATCTAATTGCTTCGCAAGCTCCAATATGTATTGCATACAAATGCACTGATGCGCCACATGCGCCATAAGTTCGTGCTTTTCTTCCATTTCTAAATTTATGGACCAAATTACTAGATAATTTGCAGTCTCCTCACAAACAAGATCGAGATGCTGCTGCAGGAAACGTTTGGAATCATCGTACTTCCGTAGCATCCCATATTGCTTGCATAATTTTTCATTTTCCTTTACAAATTTCTTCATTCTTGCCTCTTTCTCCTCTTCCGAAAGATTCTCATCAGGTTTCCTTACAGCCTGTTTATTCAAAACAGTTTTTTCGAACCCAGGTTTGCTGATTGTATCCACATTCCAAGGCGCTTTCTTCTCTTTATTGATCAGTTCATCCTCCTGCCGATCGATTTCTTTGCCCTCCTTTTCAATCTTTTCCAACTCTTTCTAAAAGGTGCCAGACATGATTAGTGATATGCTTTTTCAAAAATTAAAACAATAAATGTTTTACCTTAAGTTCCGCTGCGTCGCCTTCCTTCTTTTGTATGCGTTCTTTCACATCCATCAAACGAGCCTGATATGACTGCTTCTTCTTTTTGAACTCGTCCTTTTCGCGTTCCATCTCAGCCATACGTTCGACACGGGCCTGATGACGCCAACGGAACAATGAAGGAGTGTCGATGTTGGGATGTGTGTCATCCTCATCATCGGAAATCTGTTCGAAATATTTGACAAATTCATACGAAATAGTAACCACTTTTTGCAATGATTTTTTGTGCTTTCTACTCACTTCAATATTCTTCCATTTGCTGTAGTCTACCATAGTTGAACTTGAGAGATTTTTCTATATTCTCTAACTAAATTCTTCGCAAAAAAATACTTTGAACGAAATTCTCAATTTCTCCTCTACCGCTAAATATACTAGAATTTTCTTTTGACATTTATGCTAAAATTTTGAATGTAAGTCAAAAGAAAATAACGAATGACAGATAGTAATATGGGTATTTTAAAGAAGGACCAGAGGAATTTTTGATGGCACATCCGAACATAGGGTGGGTCAGTTTAGATTGAGATAAAAGTATAAGTTAAAAATATCACTCGACTATAAATTATTAATGATGAATTTTATTTTTATTTTAGTAAACAATTATAATCTGTGTTAATTTATTTTGGTATTTTGAAAGGAAAAATAACACATTTAAGTTATTTACCAAATAATTGAAGTAAAATGCAGATAATTTTTTTGCAAATTGGATAGAGATATGCTTAAATATGCTTAAGCAAGCGGATAGATTTTATGAAAAAAAAAATTTTTCCTGAGGAATACACAGAAAGCTTTGGCGTATCGATGTAGCTTCTGTATGAAGTGACACGTATGGTTTAAGTTGCTTTTTTTGATTGTACGTGAAATAAATAAATAACATGGGCTAATTTTCTTTAGTTGTTTACCTAATTTAAACCAAAAAGCTGGTAGGTACTTACATATGTATGTATGTGACTACATTCAGATGCATCAGCCTTGATATGCATATATATTTTTATTATTATTATACGTTAGGATATGCGTTTGTATATAATTCTGGGTTAAGGCCAAACTGCTGCACACCAAGAAATTTTCAATGTACTTTCTGCAACGTCTTCGTCTTTACACTGTGTTGACGTTTAACGAGCCAAGTGTAAATAAAACTATAAAATACAAATATCAACACTAATAAAAGTAATACATTTTTAATGTGCCCACTTGACCGCCTCTTTCAGGGAACACGCTTTCTTAATGTCAGACAACAATGAACAAGGGCATATTACGATTTTGGTGATTAATCGGAAAGGTTTACGTCTTTTACTACTACAATTGCACTTAAGTTAAAAACTAGGAATTATTTTTCAAAATAATGTTTAACAGTTATAATCGTCGGAAAAAGCATGATACCGTCTTCTTAAATGTCAAGCCCACTTTTAACAGTCAGGGTAACGGTCTAAGGAAGTACTCAACTGGTTTGCTAGATAAGGAGGACAATCCGTTTTACGATGTGAATAGTAGCAGTGGTAGTCGAGCATCGGTCGGAACTATAACCACATTGAATGAAAATTTCCGGGCCGTAAGTGGAACTAAATTATTTGATGAATAGGAAATAAAGCTAAAAAATTTTCCTGAGATACATACTTGGGATATCTTATCCATATTTTTTAAACAGTCGTATAACCTATCAACGAACCCAACATAACCTAACTTCAATATTAATTTTTTTTTTATCTAGAATATTTTTTACAATAATATTGCGCCAATTCAATGGTTTTTGCATATGCTCGGAGTTTTACCCATAACGCGCCGGGAACCTGGCAAGGCCAAATTTCGCATAAATTCCATTGCTTTCGGCTATTCGTTTGCCTTCTTTATACTTCTATCGGTAAGTTTTATTCATAAAATTTTAGAAAAATCTGGATATTCACAATATTTTTTTTTCAATTGTTCAGGTGTTTGTTACTTATGTTGCTAAAAAT